TAGAAACTTTGCCAATATATTAGCCACATGTCATATATGCAGATAGCTTGTGGTAGAAGATAATGATGTGGCATACATATAGGAAACTTGACTTGCAAGTTAAAACATGTATCTCGTAAATTTGGCTCATGTTAGAGGTCCTGTAGGATGTCACCACATAGCTCTTAGTTGGATAATATATATAGAAGTAAGAGTGAAATCTTCTTCACTCTTATCAATGTCTTTTTAGTCTTTAGTCTTATTTCAAGACTTTCTAATCTTTTTGGCTTTGGTAATAGCCATTCTAGTTCAATATATTATCATCTTTGAGTGATTTTTTAATCTTTTTAAGTGACATAAGAGTGTATTGAGATTTGTTTTTGAGATTTATATCCTTAATAGTTTGACAAGAATACTAAATTATTGTCCTTATTTTGAATTAAAAGTGAGTGCATTACTCCACTTCTATTGTTATATTTTGAAGGTTGCAAACCACTAATCTTTAAATTCATTTTAAGTTTTCTAATATTGATTGTTTTTCTTAAAGAGAGTGGACTATCTTTCTTTTTAGAAACTTTCATTTGATATTAGAAGTTGTTGATTATCTTCTTCTAATTTAATTTTTAGATTTAGTTGAGTTGTCTTTAGACAAATAAATTATGGATGCTATTCTTAGAGGAAGTGAGAATAGATTTGCATTTATTGCAGATCTTCATGAGCTTGTCAATACTTTGAGAGTAGAAATCTCACATAATTTTAACATCAAACATGGAGGAAGTATTTTGACGCTTATGAACAATTTGAACAACAAAGTTCATAGTCTATATTAAGAAATTGTACAATTAAGAGAAGCAAATAGATCAAGTTTACAACTAAATCAAAGAAGTCTTGCCACTCCAAATATAAGAATAGCATAGATGAATATGCTTGAGAATTTTGATGGAACATGATAAATTTTTTGAAGAATTCTTATGCTTACTTTTAGTCTACTTTCAAGAATCTTTAGATTTCTAATTTTTGAAAATAGCTATTATAGTTTCTTCTTGAATATATATATATATATATATATATATATATATATATTCTCATTTCCATTTAATCATCTATATTTGATATATATTTCACTTATTTATGTATTTTCTTTGAATTCTTATCTTTGGCAATAGTTCAATTAACCATGATAGACATTTAATTTATCATGTTAAAGAAGAACTTTTTAAGAACTCAATCTAGTCTACATCTTTTTGAATAGATACAAAAGAATCACTTAAATTGATCTAATACTTATATGTGTAATCTTAACCTCTTAATAAATAAGTTCTAAGCATCTTTCATTAAAGTTAATCAAATAAGTTTAAGATTTTTAGTAAAATATTATTTATGCTTAAAGCTATAATTAGAGTTTTGAGGATTAAAAATACATCCAAATTAATTGAATTGTTTGATAGCCATACAAAGATTAAGTCTAATTGAGGATTATACACAATCATACTTTGGTGTATAAAAAGGCTCCTTCAAAAAGAAGAAACATCAAAGGATTGCCTTTAATATTGAATTGAAGAAAACTTAAAAGTAAAATTGGGCAATTCAACTTCAATTGTGATAGTTCAATGAGCTCTGTAATCTAGGATTGTTAAATTCATATTGATCTACTAGCTACATCTTTCAATTGGAAAACTTACTACTAAGTAATGCAATCAATTTTAATAGATATATGGATTGATCCAATTTTTGTTGCTTATAATTTTTTGTAGTGTTAACTCTTTAGAGCAATATCTAAATAACATTTACATCATTTTTATTGTTATTGGCTTATTATACCTATCCATTCAAAGGTCAATAATTAACATCACATTTATATTCATCTCCAAAGTATTATACCTTTCTATAAGAAAGTTCAAGGTAAAAATACTATACAAGACAAACATTTGGAATTGAATGCATTTTAGTTGAATGAAATTAAAGCTTGAATGAAGTAGGATTAAATAAACTTATACTAGATGAAATAGGCTTAAATGAACTTATATTGGATGAAGTTAGGTTAGGTTTTGGATGAAGTTTTGTGTTAATGAAGATAAACTTAAAATAAATAAAAAATTATTTTTGAATGAAATATGATTAAATAATAAAAAAAATTTCCAATATATACAAACTTTTAAATTGATTTAAGAGCATGTATGAATGTTTATAAACCCTTCTTGTATTAAGTGGAATTAAATTAGAGGAGTTGTAGAGTTAATTAATAAGACTTAAAAAATAATTATAATTAATAAAAATATATAAATTAACTTAATTATTATAAATAAAAAAGACTACAATTAGTAGGAATTTATTTTAGCTTACAAATTTCAACACCTTCAATTCCTCGAAGCACTTGAAAGCATTTAAATAACATATTTCAAACTTCTAAAACCAACTTCTAATGTCTATTAACTAATTACTTCAACCTCCAAATTCCAAGCCTATTTAACTACTCTCAAATACAAGAGCAATCTAATGAAAAGCTACTATATATTTAGCCACTACAAGAAGTCTCTAGAAGATCAATCTAATGAGAAGCCACCATATAGTTAAACAAAATCCATCTTTATTTGATCTAATCAAAAGCCACCACTTAGTCAAATAAAGACTCTATATTATTTGGTTCAATAGTTATTCTACATTTGATTCAATAAGGATTTCTACATATTTGGTCCAATAGCTAATCCATACTTGGTTAAACAAAGACTCTCTTTTAGTTGATTCAATAGTAAACTTCCATCTTCACATTTCCATTGTTCAATCTAATATTGATCTTATCATTATCCTAACTCAATCAACTAAGTCATCTCAATTGCCAATCTAATGATAGTTTGAAGTAATTTTCAACCAATAACAACAACAATCACAACAATCACATAAAAATTATACTAATATCAATTCAACTATAAACTTAAATTAATAATAAATAAAAATAATAATCTAAATATTAACTATAAAGCAATCTACATGATAACATTATAAAGTTGGATTATTTTTAATTGTGAATAGATCAATCTTATTGTTTATCGATTATATCTACTAAAGTCTATAAAGATCCATCTTATATTCCACATATCTCTTTTTAAGCCATACAAGACAATAGATATATTAGGATGAAGACAAATACCACATCCTCATATTGAAGTAAATAATAATCAAGAGTTTGACGTCAAAGAAGTCTTAGATTCAATATGATGCCAAAATATGTTGGAATATCAAATACATTTGTATAAATATGATATTTGTGAATGCACATGATAGCCAACTAAGAATCTTACAAATGCAACAAAAAAAATTAATACTTTATATTAACAATATCCATCAAAATTAAGATAAAGAGTCAAACAATTCTATGTTGTAATAAAAAATAAGAATTAAGGAAGATTGCTATCTATCTTTTATCATTGTTTGTAGTTTCCATATACTTGTGGTATTAAAAAAATAAAGTATCAAAAACTAGCACATTTTACTTGAAAGCTATTATTTGTTTAGTTACCAAAAAAAGCATTAATATTATCATAGCTTTTAAGAAAATTTAATAGAGATGAAGACCTTTAAGAATATGTTCTTTTTCAAATAGATGGTGAGATACAATGTATTTGATAATATGACTTTGGAAGAAACTTCCAATATTTGATAATATTATTGGAGGTAAAAGCCATCTTTGATAGTATTACAAATGTTTTATTTAAAGGAAGTTACAAAAGCCTCAACAATGATCAAATATCAAGGTAGTCTTTTTGCCTTAGTACAAGGTAATATCAATGGTTTAGAGGACCTATCAACTACCTTCAAAAGAAACAAAGATCGTAGTATGTGACAAATTCAAGTTGTAATATCTTAAACTTTGTTAGTATGTAATTATAACTTCTTGTAAAACTTGTCTTTAGAAGAGGGGATAATGTCAAAAACATACATATTTATCTAGATTAAAATAATTAAATAAAACTAAATAGAAGTAAACAAAATTAATAATATATTATGGAAAAGCTTCTTAAAAGCTAAATGGATGCAGATTTTACTTTATATATGTTTGTAAGTGATTGGTAGCCAAAAAACTTAGCCAACAAGTTAGCCACATGTTGTATATATTAATGACTTGTGGAACAAGTTAGTCATATGGCATACATGTAGGAAACTTGTGTTGCAAGTTAAATATATATCTTGTAAATTAAACATGTGACATATGTCTTATAGAATGTTGCCACATTCCTAGTTAGATAGTATATACAAAGACAAGAGTAAGGCCTTCTTCATTCTTATCAATACCTTTCTTATTCTTAGTCTAGTTTCAAGAATCTCTTCTTGTTATTGTCAATAGCTATTTTAGTTTTCATATTATACTCTTATATAAACATCTACTCTCTTTGAGTAATATAAGAATATATTGAAGTTTTGATTGTTTGTGATTCATATCCTTGATACTTGTGCCAAAGTGGCCAATATATGGCCAATTTGTTGACAAAGTTTTCTACTTTTTAATCACCTATAGACACATATAAAGTCAAATCCACGTCTATGAAGCTTCTAAAAAGCTAGTATATAAGATATTATCAATATTTACTTCTATTTATTTCTATCTAACTCCTTTTATCTAAGTAATTCCAAGTGTTGATTATGTTTGTAATAGCAATTGAATTGAGTTTCTAAAGCCTTGTTATGATTTTAAATTTGATTAAATTAAATTATATTTTCAATATAATCTTTGAATGTTTAAAAATAAATAAATAAATAAATCATAAGGTTGCTAATTTCACTTTGTTTATTTAATAACATCTAATTAACTTTTCAAATTATTTAATCTTCTAATGCTAGAAATTACAATTTGGCTTTTGCCAATGCACAAGTTTGACATCATAAGCCTATCTTTTCTTTTCTTTTTTGCTTTTGAATTTTTGCTTATTTGACAACAACTACAATATCGTGTATTGTCAGAATTTCTTATTTGGCTACAATCACGGCTGTGTAACGTGCAAACACAACACCTTCAGTCTTAGTATTGACGTCCTTGATCATGGCAGGACTATAGTCAACAACCGTGGTACCCACAGCAATGTTCATCTCATCTGCAACATGAGATGATGCGTCGATGGCGAGAGAGTGATGCGCTGCGTTGTTGTGATTGTGTGCACCAGCAATTAATCATCTTCTCGCCGAAACACTGGTTTGATTCGCATTATCGCACACAGTAGCATCTTTGAAGCCGGATCTGTGATCGGAGACTCTCACTGCTGAAGATAACCGTGCCCGGACTTTGTTGCCGTAGGGTTTATTGCAGCTGAATTTGATCATTGTGCGCTATGTTGATGCAGCCCAGCGATGAGTGGTGAGGTTGATCGGCAGCGAGGGCAGCTGAGCGCGTTTTCGCATGTCAGAGCTGCCTGAGCGTATGCGTTGCCGTCAACGATCGAGGGGAATGGTGCAGAGTGAATTTTAGGGTTTCTGGTGCTCGTCAGAAGTTTGTGGGCGAGTTTCCGTCGCGTGTGGGATCGCTGGAGCTGCGGTTTTTGTTCGCTTTGGACGTCGTTCATCAGAATGGCGTTGTTGGAATGCGGAGCGCGGGTTTGGCTTCTCGTAGCTGCTGTAATGTTCCTTCTCTTGCAAGCGAGATTGTTTTCAGTGCAGACCAAGTATGCAGACCGGATCGCTTTGGCTGTGGAAGGGGAGAATAAGTGCTCACACAGTAAGAAAGCCCTGATTGACCAATTCAGTGTCCAGCAGGGCAGGATTGTTGCTTTAGAGGATGAGAAAGAGAGGCTTGAGAACAAGAATGCGCAGCTTAGCTTGCTGGTTAGAGATTACCGGCGCATGGGGAAGGAGGTACCGAAATTAGTAGGTACCAAGCCTGTTGCTGCTGTGGTGATTATGGCTTGCAATCGGCCTGACTACCTTGATCGAACGTTGAATTCTGTGCTGAAGTATCAGAGGTTGGTGGCGGAAAAATTTCCCCTGTTTGTATCTCAGGCATGTGTTCTTACTCCATTATCAACTCTCAAAATTGTGAAACTATTCAAAAACTGGTAGATATCCATGGACAAATAAGTTCTTTGGTTTTTGACGATATATTTGGTGGTTGCACTGAGTCGATCATTCAATCATCGTGTTCATTCAAACCGATCTCAAATTCTCAGTTTGGTATTTATTGTTTGTTTGTTTTTTTTCTGGTATACTTGTCCATGTGATTCTTGCTGCGGCTCAGGATGGTCCAATGGAGTCAGTGAAAGCCAAAGCGAAGAGTTTCGTTGGTGTTGGATATATGCAACATCTTGAAGGTGACCCCCCTACAAGGAATCCGGGGGAGATAGTCGCTTACTACAAAATCGCACGCCACTACAAGTTTGCACTATCGCAGCTTTTTGACATCCGAGGATTCGAGAAAGTGATAATTTTAGAGGACGATATGGAGATAGCGCCCGATTTCTTTGACTATTTTGAAGCAACCTCTTCTATCTTGGACTGTGATAAGTCCGTTGTGGCAATTTCTTCGTGGAATGACAATGGCCAGAAGCAGTTTGTCAGTGACCCTACGGCTCTGTATAGGTCTGATTTCTTCCCTGGTCTCGGCTGGATGTTAACCCGAGAGTTTTGGGACGAGCTTTCTCCGATTTGGCCAGAAGCTTATTGGGACGACTGGCTGAGGTTGAACTCCACTCGCAAGGGTCGTCAGTTTATTCGCCCAGAGATTTGCCGAACATACAATTTCGGTGAGCATGGCTCAAGCATGGGACAATTTTACTACAAGTACTTGGTGCCCATTAAACTGAACGACGTCCACGTAGACTGGAAGTCGTATGATTTGGAGTCCATGCTGAAGGAGGAGAAGTTCAATAAGGAGCTGGCGCGTAGGATAGCCTTAGCCACACCCCTAAACAACGTGGACGAGAATATACTTAAGATGGTTGAGAACGTGAACCGTGATATCAGAATTGTGTACAACAGCCAGATGCACTTCGAAAGTCTCGCTCGGGCATTTGGTGTATTCGAGGAATGGAAAGATGGGATCCCTAGGACGTCCTACAAGGGAATCGTTGTGTTCAGATGGAAGGGCAACAGAGTGTTCCTTGTTAGGCCTGATTCTCGGGAAGCACTTGGTTACAATGCAGATGTTTTTTAAGTGATAGCGGTGTACCTCAAGGTCTAGCCATGTGCTAAGTGCTCTGTACACTGCTTACAACTGCTCAATGGACCAGTTGTACAAGCAGGGAGCTTTAAGGTAGTGCAGATTTACAGGATGTCATGCGGATCATGGTGATTGAGCTTATTGTTCAAAGAGGCATCCGTTTGGTTTGTTGGACGGAACCGAGCAGAACTCATCGCCACAACTTTGAACTGCATTACTATGTAACGATGGAGGGCTCTTTCGAAATTATCTACACTAAAATGAAAATTTGAAATCCTCACTAGACGAAGCGCACGGCAGATTCACAGCTCCGTGTGCAGCCGGTCATGCGGTATTTTTTTTACACTCTTGTTTACAACAGGTGTTGTATCTGTTACGCGCTGCAGCCACGCCGCCACAAGTTTCAGACTGCTGCTGCGAGAGAATGGGAGAGCACCCCATAAAAGAAACATAGGAACTCTGGATCATTGACTTCTAAAGCACCAATTTATTAACACATTTTTTGAAACAGCAAGAAGTGTTTCTGCTATTTTTCTGTTATTTCTTTTCACTGTGCAAAGTTGGCGTTCAAGAACTATAAATTTGAATTGCTGACCTATTTGGTGCAACAGCCAATAGGTTAAGATTGGACCAAAAATCCCACCTTTACCTTGAAAAAGATTTTTTTAATTCTTATTTCAAAAATCATTCTTTTGTTTTTCTTTTTTTTTGTGGAGATTGGTTTCATAAAAAGAACATAAGCTTAAACATCAGGTTTTACTGTATCAAGAATTTATTTAATATGCACTAGTGGTTAAGTATGATATAATATTAACATCAATTTTTTCAACCCACCTTTACATCTTATGACAATCTTGAATGGTATATTCTCTATTTTATTTTCTCTTTTTGTTGGCTTCAAGTTCTAATGTAATTTTTTTTTACAATTAATGTATAAATTTATATTGATTATCTTTGTGTAGAATTATATTTTTTCTTAACTTTTTATAAATATAATTTTATTTATATAAGAATCATTAGTTTTATAAAGACAATTCTTTCTTGAACATTTTATTTTTATTTTTCAAAATTTAGAATGAGTCTTACACTTTCATTTTTATGTTGTAGTAACTAGTTTTTATAGAATTAAAACCTTAATTTTTTTAAAAGTAGCAATTAAAAAATTATTGGACTATTTTTATTTTACTATTGTTTAGTTTAGAAATTGAACCAAAATATTTAAAATTGTTTGATATTAGAAATGATAATTATAAAAGAAATACATAGGCATCATGTCAATGTACATAATTTATATTTTATATTTATTTAGATAATATGATATAACTATACGTTTTATATATATATTTTTAATAAGGAATATTATCTTGTTTGAAATATTAATGGTATGCTTGTTTGTAGAAATAAAAATAAAAATAATAATAATAAATCTTTGAATTCATCACATAAAAATGTTTAAATAATGTTTTAAGTAAAAATAAAACAAAACACAAACAAAAACTATGAATATATAAAATCTATTTATTGTATCAAATCATAATTTTATCTCTTTTTTTTGACATACAAGTCTTCTTGCATTTTGGCATGGCAATCTTAGTATCTTATCTTGCAATAGTTTATTTATAATTTCACTATAGTTCTTAATAAATTTTGCAATCAACTACTAAATTCTGTCTTTAATATTTAGTTTCATGTTCATTGTTTGTCCTTATTTTTTATATTTAAAAAATCATATAATATGAAATTACTCTAGCTTATTAAATATGATATTATATCACTACCATAATTTTAAAATTAGTGATAGAGTATAACCAAAATAATACAATTATCTCACAATTTCATTTCTTATGATATAAAATTGAGACAAATTTTTTACAATTTCAGCTTGTATAAACTCATATATTTATATTCTATGTAATAAGAAAGCTTGGTTAAATGACTAAATGATAATAAATTAATAATAAAACCTACTCATTGTTTATTTGTGCCCAACAGCATGGGTTTCCGCTAATGTGTATGTATATCGATAAATATTTCTATATATATATATATATATATATACAAATAAATAAATTGATTGTTGCAATGACGCAATGCCGTCGAAAATGGAAACCGACCACACCAGTCAGACGGAGCAAACGAGGTCAGCATTCAAAATCGCCGTGGAATGGGATTTGTGTGTCGAGGTTGTGCATGCCAGGATTTCGCCAAACCAGGCTGTTCTGAGCACCATTACGATGTGCCGCTTGTAGATACTTCAGCAATTGCTGGTGATTGAATCAGCTTTGTCGAAACGCGGATCTGATTAGGGTTTGCGGGTTTGTGCGGGGGAGGTAGTCGCACAACGCAATCGAAGGTTTTAGGGTTTTGTTTTTTAGCTTTCCTTTGGGTCGACACTCTTTGAGATGATTGGATTGTGTTGTACCTGAAGATTAGCTGCGAGTTTGATTATTGTTTTTTCTCTTTCCTTTTGTTTGATATGTAATTTCCGTTGCGGATAGGTTGGTGCACTTTGAAATTGAATTTCGCTTTGTTTTGACGTACTTTGTTTTGGAAGTTATCATCTTATCTTGAGGCTACCAATTTTTCACCATCTTATTGGGCGCAAGGGTAGAATCTCGCAGCTTCGGGAAATCTTAGCTTGTGTTGTTTGAATTGCTGGAAACGTTATCAATAATTGTTCAGAATCTATTTCAAGGAAAAACCTAACATTCCTATTGAGTGAGTCAACTGAACATTTTTTCTCAAATTTTGTCATTGCGGATTTTCATTAAATTGCCGTCCCTTTCTTTTGTACAGGTTTGTAATGGAAGACCCTGAGGCACGGCGAGCGAGGCTGAAGGCCATGCGGGAGCAAGCCGAAGGAGTTTCTCAAAGTGCCCCAATTGCAAACAATTCCGCCCCAAAGCTTGTCAATCCATTTGAAGATCCAGCTCCGACATCCAACGCTCATACTCCACGGTTCAATTACTACTCGGACCCTACAGCCGGCTTCTTACACAAACGGAAAGAGACTCCAACACCTGTGGCTATGAGCCCCTCTCGCAACCCGTATCCTCAAGGGCACTGGAAACCAGATTATCATCCTCCAGCACCAATTCCGCCACCTAGGAGCTTTCAAGTCGGAGCATTCGGCAGTCCTATTCCCATGTTCAATCCCCATCAACAGGGTCCTCTACCTCCTGCTTTGGAGCCTCAACAGCAATATGGTGATGGGACATGGCCTTCCAAAAGATTTCATTATGGCACAGGCCGCGGTGGCCGAGGGTCAGGTCCTGGAAGAGGAGGATTTGGACGAAATGAGGGCAATCAAGCAAGAGGACGAGGTGGAGGTCAAGGTGGACGAGGTGGGCGAGGTCAAGGAGACACCGGTCCAGTCTCTGCAAGAGATAGCCCCGACCTTTTCTACCACAAGTCCATGGTTGAAGATCCATGGCGACATCTGTAGCTTTTTCTCTCCACCAGAATGACTTAAATTTGTAGAAACTGTCTCTTGATGTATTTATTTTAGCTCTTACCCAGTTTCCACCTCGAATGCACGTCTACATCTGGGGTAGCGACAGCATCTTTGTTTGGTTTCGGTTGGGTGAGACTGTCTATCTCCAAAAAAACTTTGACAATCTCATAAAATGATACCGGTTATTCCGCTCTATCTCCTGTTGGAACATGCGTTTCTCTGTGATTGTTGTTCACTATTCTAGCTTTGTCAAGGCTCTGAAAAGTATCACCATGCATGCATGTGATCAGGAGTTATTTGTGAGGCATGTTTGCAGTCCGAGGTTCCGGAATTGCATCGGGGGAGCAACATAGCTGAATGTGATGCCTATGAAGACAGAAAAATTGGCAGTGCTTGCGTCGTGTTGCGTGTGGTGCGGGGAAGGGCGTTGCTCGGCAGCTGGGTAGCTCACTGAGCACACAGGAACAGGTAGATTCACCACCATAAGTATGTTTATGGATTCACCCCCAGTAGCTTTGTTTGATGAATGCACTGTTGTACAATAGGGATTTCAGTAAAGATATGGAAGCCCAAGTTTGTTGTGAAATGGTGCCAATTCCACTCCAAACACAACTTTTTAGCGACTTATATTCATTGATCGAAATTAGAAAAATGAATTTATTATTGAGAAATGAGTATAAACACAGCAGATTGATTAGATTGACAGATGGGTTCAGGAACACATGCTTTTTAATTACTTTTTTGAAGTTAGGTTGGGAGAAATTTTTGTTTTGCTGTTGAATCAAAAAGCAAACTGAAGGGTCACTCAGGTGGAATAGTTTCTGCAATAGTAGTAGTGTTTGGAAGGTTTTAGTCACTCCAATTTTCAGAATAGCTAGTATAAACAGAGTTGAGATCAAAGTTGATCAAATCTTGTTGTAAACTATTTCAATTTCTGTAATTATTAAGTTATTTTAGCATTTTGCTTTAGCTATTTTTAGGACATTGCATTATCGTAATATTTTAAATCATTTCTTGTACTATTGAGCTTTCATTTGTGATTATTGACTTGTGTGTATGGATTTATATTAATCAAAAGCTCTCTTTTATTTTTATCCTTGGTAAAAGGAGCCATTTCGGTATTCTATTCATCCACCATCCTATATCAGCCAGATACCTATTCCACTAAGGCCGCAACGTACACTGCCAAAGGAATGTTGGTTCATTCCAAAGCCTGAGTTACTGAGAACTTGGAATTGTGACAAGCTGTGCCGATTCACCCCAAAAACCGGGGACGTGATTTTGGGCAGGATGGTGCTCAGCTTTTAGCAAAATACAACCGTCACGATGCCCAATCCAGAAGGGAGGGCAAAATGGAGCGCCAGTGTGGAACCTCCGACCAACCTGATTTACCAACTGAGCAGAATACCCCACCGAGGTTTAAGTAATGTAGTAAAAAAAACAACATGAGCTTGTAAAAGTAGTTTGCACATATATGTAAAATTTTTGCATGGTTGGATGAAGTTGCACTTATAGTTTGTTTCATTGATTTCTATGATATTGCAGCTCCATGTCTTAAGAATACATAGCATGTTTGAAATTTAGCTGTTGCAATATCAGATTTATATCATGCATGAGAATATCCAATCAATTTTGAATCTACAGATCATGTGTAGTATAATTCCAAATCTTCAATGCCTTTTAAATAATGTGGTAAATATTTGACACCATTTTAATGTTGTAGTGTTAGACGTGCACTTTGTCTTACAAGAATACTAATTACAAATATAATATCTAGTCTTGTAGTTGTGGCTAAATATAAAAGTGCTCCAATTGCTATAAGGTATAGATATTGCTCTCCCAATATATCTTCCTCCTCCTCGCACAGATGGTATAGATCATAACCATCATGACCACATCCAACCATTGGTGTAGACAATAGATAAGCATCAATCATATTGAATCTCCGTAAGATTTGTCTAATATATGTTAATTGGTAGAAAAAAATACTACCATCTGTGAAATGTATAATCTGAAGACCAATGCAGAAAGTTATTTTTTAAATTTATTTATGATTAAATAATCTCGAAGACATTGATACCACATGTGTCCAAATTGTTTTAGACCATATAGGGCCTTGTATAATTTAATACAACAATATCATCCTAGAGCACGTGCATTTAGAGTTTCTATTTCTAAATCAGATGGAACTTTCATGTAAATATCTGCATCAAGAGAATCATACAACTAGGCAGTTACTACATCTATGAAGCACATCTCAAGGGTGGTATGAACTCCCATTCCAATAATATATTAGAATGTAATTGAATCCATGATTGGAAAATATGTGGATTTATAATCAATGCCAAACTGTTGAATAAATCCTTGAGCAACAAGATGAGCTTTATAGCAGATTATTTGATCCTTAATATCTTGTTTGCATATTAATACCATCTTATATCTGACAAGGCAAGAAGTAAGAGTGTCCATAATTAGACCAAAGACTTTCTTCTTATGCAAAGAAGCATAGTCCTCTTCAATGGAAGTTTTCTATTTTAACTAATAAAAGTGATACATTACTTCCTAAATGGTTTGAGATTCACGATCCTCTTTCTCGTAAGAAAAAGCTTTTGCAATCATGAATGCAAATGATTCATCTATTATAATAGATGGTCCATCCTAAAGGTGTCAAAGACATAAATTGGAAGATAATGCATAAACTAATGAAATCTATGTCAAAGAAAAAGTGAAAAAATAAAAATAAAGAAATACGTATATTAAAAATAAATTTGAATGGCTTATTGCCAAAAGACAAGAAAACTTGAGACTCTTGAAACTAAAATAGAAGTAAAAAAGGAATTGAGAAGAATAAGAAAGACTTCACTCTTGCCTCTATACATATTATTTAACTAAGAACTTTGTCGCAACATGCTATAAGACTTCTAATACGCATCCAAATTGCATGACACATGTCTAATTTGCAAAGAAAGTTTCCTAGGTGTACACCATATGTCCAACTTGTATTATAAGTCGTCAACATGTCGACACGTGGCCTTCTTGTTGGCAAAGTTTTCAACCTATCAATCACCTATAGACATGTATTAATGCAAAGCAAAGTCTATAAAGCTTTTAAGAAGCTTTCTAAAAGATATTATCATATTTATCTACTTTGACTTACTTCTACCTATTCTTATCATTTAAATAATTATCAAGGTAAATATGTATGTCCATGATAAAAAGTCATTTGTAGGATAATATAAAATAGATAATTTAGTACTCAATATGGTTTTATTCCTCCTAATTTTAAGATTTTTTTATTGCATGAGGTGAAAGTATAATAAACATGAACATATTATCATTAATTGATTGTCTTGTAGGTTTAATAGGAACTTCCATAGAAACAATACTAAAATTACCACATGTTATATGCCTTTTCATCAATGAGCTCCAATGGTATATTATTGAGGTTCTAGTACTGGAATCCAAGCACGGCAACCAAACACCCATATGTGACATACATTTGGAATACGATCTAAAATGAACTCTTGTATAATAATTTCAAGAAAAGAAAGATGGAGGCATATTAATACTTTACCATACAAAATTATATGATCCCATATAAATGTAGGAAAATTTGCTTGAAGAAGGAGTCGCCAAGTAATGAATTGTATATGCTTTATAAATGACTTTGCAAGTCCATTTTGAGCATGTTCATATAAAATACAATATGTCAATTCAATCCATATTGTAGTACAATAGTCTTCAAAGGACTTTGATACAAATTCTTTTGTATTGTTCATATGCAATGTTTTGATAGGATAATCAAGAAAATATGCTTGAAAATAAATAAGCATAGATATAAGATTGGTAAACACCATGTTTTGAGTTAATAATAATGAAACATGTGATTGTTTGCTCAATGCATCAATAAAGACCAAAAAATAACAAAATGGTCAAAATATTGGATTAATAGGATCACAAATATCACCTTGCAATTTTTCAAGTATTGGTGGTAACTCTTGTGGAAGTTTCCAAATTGAAAGCAAAGCAATCATCTTGCCTTGTACACATTTACAACATAATTCCATAGAATCTATATCTGAAGATCTTAAATTATATCCAATTATATATAGAATTATCTTCCAAAATAATGTAGATCTTGGATGTCATAATTATCCATGCCAGAGAGAAATGCAATTCTCTGTGATAGATGATACAAAATTAAGTATAATAGGAGGTTGGATTTCAATGTATTATAAACCATTTGTTACAACAAAGGCTTTTTTTACAACTTTATGATTTTGTTCAAGAATCAAAACCTCCTGCCTATTTAAAATTACAGTTGAAAGGTGATAATCATTGGCACACTCATCTCGGTAGCTGATCAAATTCGAAGATGCTGAGGGTGCAAACACTGCATGTTTACATTTTATACTAGATCTTGCAGGCAATTTTACCATTGCTATTCCTTCTTGGAAACAAAACTCATTTGTTCTAGCCCTAGTCATCAAATTTTTAATTTTTCAGGTTGAAGATTTTTCAATAAAAAATCTTCTATCTTGTAAGATAGTATGTGTTGTTGTAGAATCAATGCACGCATCATTTTACTCATCATTAGAGGTTTTGTCATTCATATATGCCTCTAAAACATCAATACCAATTGAATCCATAGATGCATCTATGATATGAACTTCATGAGCCTCAGCTCTAAGTTTCTTATTTTCTTAGAACATTTTAACAAAGTATTTTGAAGTATGGCATGCATGTGCTAAATGTCCAATCATTCCATATTTATGGCAAGAACACAACTTTGATTTTTTTTTTTTCCCATTGCAATTAATTGTAGAATGTTTATTCTTTCTATATAGGTGGAAATGGTCATGACGATGACTGATTTGGTATTTATGAGCATTTTTTCCATGTTTGTATAATTTTTTCTTAGACTTTGAAATACTAAGTATATGAGATTTTAGAACCGTGGTTTTAATAGGATGAGCTTTTGTATTACTTAAAAGTAGTTCATTTTGTTTTTCTACAAAAAATAGATAAGACATGAGATTAAAATGACTTTGAAATTTCTTTTTTTTATATTGTTGTACAAGCACAACAAATACAGGAAGAAATATAGAGAGAGTTTTTTCAATCATTTCTTCTTCAAAGATATTTTGTCTACATTATTGTAGTTGTAAGTCAATACAATTGTTAGGGATATAGTCCTTAGAACCTTCTAGAGACAAGTTTCTAGAACCTTCTAGAGATAAGCTTCTAGAACCTTCTAGAAGCAAGTCTCTAGAATCTTCTAGAAGCTTCTTAGTTGATAGAAGATATTAGGGACATAGTCCTTAGAACCTTCTAGAGATAAGTTTCTAGAACCTTCTAGAAGCAAGTCTCTGGAACCTTCTAGAAGCTTCCTAGTTGGTAGAAGTTGCTTGAGAAGCTTCCTAAATAGGAGTATATATTGGAATCGAGGCTGAAGAGTTCTTCAGTCTCGACAACACATCTCTTGGAGCTCTAGCTCACCTCTCTGGTATTGTTCTTGTATTCATCTGATTAATCTAGTTCTTGCCAGTTCTTCTTGAACTTCTTGGTAGATATCAAGTCTATATTCTGTGTCCATGACAACAATGCATTTCACTGTTGAAATCATTTAAATTTGAAAAATCCAAGATATGTAAATGTATCCAATTATGACATACACATGGAAGGAAAATAGTCTTTTGATGATGAAACTTGGATTTAAGATTCTTCCAAAGCTTGGTTGAATCTTCCATTTCTAAATAATAATGTTGTAATGCAGGTACAAGATGTCAACAAAGGAGAAGTAGTATTTTCTAATGGATAGTAATAAGAATTGAAGTACTTACAATAGAAGATTCTTTAAATAAAATTACATTTAAGAATTTTTTTGTAAATAAAATTTCTTTTATTATTTTTATCTATAATAGATAATTATTTCTATAAACAGCCAATGGCAAAAATAGATAAGTTTG